TATATTGGTTCATTTATTTGTGTCTTCTTACTTATTTTCCATTTGAAGTAATGAGTGATTATCGGGATAATGACAATCTCTTTCTTAGAGTATTAGGCTCTTTAATTTCTGTTCGATAATTATATTAGAGTTTGATTAAATTTACACTAAAGTAAAGTTCTCCCTAACAAATACGACAATATATCTAAAGAGATTGAAACTCAGAGCCTCTAATTAAAGATGAATTAGTAGTTACGGCAATGTTGGTAGATCTGGCAGTTTCACTGTATGTAAACTACACTAAAGAAAGAGCCTGCAGAGTCTCTCTCTAACTAACTACAATTCCCAAAGCCTAGCCCCCTACACCATACAACCCAACCGGCTGTCTTTTTCCCTAATTACCTCAATTACCCCTACCTATCTTCCTATCATTTTCCTAACATTTAGTCATTTCTTTTCCTTCCCGAGACAAGTCCAATATAGGGGCATTTTCGTCTTTTCATGCATGCATACATTCATACCAAGACGAAAAGTCCCTCCTATCGGCCGCTAACCGCCATGTTTTCAGCACCAAAAACAATACGCATGTCAATCCCTTTTGTTAATTCTCCAAATATTTTTTATATACAAGTATAAATAAGTCTAAAAGCCATGCAGAAATATTATTTCTCTCTTTCAATTTTTCTTTTTTGAAAATGAGTGATAATAATATGAGTAGTAGTGTGGATATGTTAACATCTGGTGGAACACCAGTAGGATGTAGATGGAATCCAACAAAGGAACAAATTGATTTGCTTGAGAGTTTATATAAGCAAGGGATAAGGACACCAAGTGCTGAGCAAATACAACAAATTACTGGGAGGTTAAGGGCTTTTGGTCACATTGAGGGCAAAAATGTCTTTTATTGGTTTCAAAATCATAAAGCAAGGCAACGCCAGAAACAGAAGCAAGATAAATTTGCTTATTACAATCGATTTCTTCATCGGACTTCTGTTTTTCCTCCACCTAATTGCCCAAATGGTAATCAAATTTCTACTTTCTCCGTATTCATCTCATTTTATTTTATGTGAAGGTGTTATAACTGTTTGAAAAGTCAAATAATTTTTTCTGAATCCTTACTCTAATTCATAATCGAAAGTAAGTGTTTTGATCTTCATACTCTGAACCTCTACACATAAATTGGAACGCAGGTAGTAATAACAATATTATCTTTTGACTCGGATGTATTTTTTGCTGAGAAAATGAGGTTTTCGTATTATATGATATCTATACGAGATTATAGCTTTCTAATGGAAGGTTTGGTTATTATTTTTTTTTCAGATTTTATTTCCTTTTTTAGTATGTTTTCAGTTTCTGATGACATATATTGTCTCTTTTCATTTTGCTGCCTTCACTTCTATGTTCACACTAGCTATTAGGAGTAGTCCCCACCTGGAGACTTGTTTTTCTCTGTCATGCCCTTTTTTTATGACGTTTAAGAAGTTTAATTTCTCTACACAATTCATGTGTCATCTAAAAAGTTGCTGTAATTAATAACCATCACAAAATAAATTTAGTTATAAAATGAAAAATACTGAGTATAAATTTCCTGTGCTACTATCTTATCTAAAAATTTACGTTATCTTTTTAGTAGAAAAAACACATTTATTTACTTAATCGTGTCTTCAACAACCAGTCAAAAACTAGTTACTATTATGACATACATATTTTATAAAATATTTTTTTATAGTATTACTCCTATAAGTTAGATCAATGTATATTTATTATTATACATAGTAGTAGTACTTATTGGAATTAGGTTTTGTAGTTGTTTGCAGCCCTTATTACACAGCACAAAACAATCTAGGGTTTTATCAACAGTATCCAGCAGTTCCTAGTATGATCATCCCTGGACCAGGTGGTTTCAAAAGAAGAGCAACTTGTAATCAAGAAACTTTGAATCTTTGTGAACAAAACAACAGCCCAATTGCAAATAAGGAGTCTATAAATCAAGAAACTTTGAATCTTTTTCCACTGCACCCAACTGGGGTTTTACAAGAAAAGACTACAACAACTAATTCTTCTTCATCGTCGTCTACTTGTGTTCCTCATGATCATCAATCCAGTATTACTACTTCAAATTCAGAAGCGAACTGTTTTACTGATCTTGGAATTGGTGCTTCTGATAGACCTAATCCAGTCTTTAACTTTCTATGTCGAAATTAAAAGAGTTGGTTAGTATTGAGATTTGTGATGTTTTGGTGGTGGCAGTGTGTTTCATCTGGTTGGCTTCTTGTTTTTGTTAGTAGTTGGTTTTTGATCTAAAATAGTAGTACATGTGATCATATTATCCTTTGTTTCAAATATATAGTGCAATATGTTGTGAATGTAATTGTGGTTTCATTTTGTTTATTAAAGAAGATTATCACCCTTCTTCTCTAACTAGTGTTGGCATAAGCTGTCTATCTACCTTACCTTTGTTTTATTTCAAATTCATTTCATAATTTGTGGTGGAATTGGTATTATTTTACGAATTTAAAGTGTGAAGAATTAAATATAAAGTATATATTTCTATTATAATTTGGTTTTTCTTTATTAGGGTTTAGAAAAACAAATTGTCAAACAATATTAACCTAAATTAGTTTTCTTCATCATCAAGAACTTTAAAAGTTTGGGCTCGTTGACATTATGAAAGGGTTAATAAGTGTTTTTTTAACCCTTTCATTTGGATTAGTCAATTCAATTTCTCAATGGGACGGAGAAGAGATATAACTCAGCTACAAATCCAATGTGAGTTCTCTAGTTGGATTTTTTCTCTGCTAGTGGGATTGGTGAGTTATGAAGGAAGAAGCAGATAAGTTAGTCAATGAACTTGAACTTGTGACACCATAATTCACTAAAACAAATTTGCTAAAATATGATTTGAAACTAATGATATTTTTGAGCACGCGAGTAATAGTTTTTTCTTATAAAAATTGGGAGAGTATATAATGAGTATTAGTTTAAAACTTATTCACTTAATTATAGTTATGAAATTTGTTTATGTTAATAATTTGAACCAAATAAAATATGAAACATGTAATTCATCTAAATGTGAAGTTGGAAAAATAGTAGGGAAGCGTAATAGCAAGGAGCTGGATCCGAAATGCATATTTGATCAATAAAAGCAAAAGCCAAAAGGTCATAAAATTCGTAAATAAGTGATCATTATGAATAAACAATGTAACTTTTTATCTGGGTATTAAAAATGAAAGTCATATTTTTTTTATAATATGGCTATTAATCCTCTCTCCTAGGACATTTGATAAAATATATATTCTGGTTATGCATTTGAGAAGTTAATTACTACCACTTCGATTTCATTAAATGGTATTAGTCGAGATGTTTTTGACACAATTATGCTTAATTTCAATATAAGGTATAATTTATATAAAATTCAAACCAATTTTTTGTTGATAAATATTCTATAGATCAGAAAATATTTGCGCCTATGTTAGTTTGGATGTTAGGATTCGACAAAAAAGAAAACAGAAAATCAGGATTTTCTTGAATATTTATGTGTATTAGCACATGAATTTTCAGGAATATATCTGATTGAATCTATTTGACTTCAAATTTTGTGAGCCCATTTGTGACAATCTAATAAATGATTCTCATTGTTTTCTCAAGAAAAAAATTAATTTTTTTTGGAATTTATGGGTCATAATTATCGGTTGGGCTTCTATATAAACACAAATTTCTAAAATACACAAGGATTAGATATAGTGCTCAATAGTCAATTTTTTTACTTTTAAAATTTAAAACTTGGAGTCATTGGCTATTTTTCTATTATAGGAGCTAAAGAGTGATTATTAGTGAATTTTATTCTGATAAAAGTGATAAAAAAATATTATGATACTCCTGGATAGCCACTTTTAGGGTTGCTAATTATAATATAGCCAGTGTTAAAATATTTGGAAATAACCACAAATGACTTGTTATCTGTGTAACAAGTAAAACAAGCACAAAAGAAGAGGAGGTAATTAAAATTGGGTAACTTTTGCAAATACCAACTATAATAAACTTAATTATCTCCATAGCTATAGTTTACATATTTACGGTTTGTAGCTACAGTTTAAGCTGTCTCGTTTGTATAATTCGCGGTTACATTTGTATAATTCAGTTATTTTTGTATAAACTAGAAATAATAGATTTATACAATTACAAACATCAGAAGTGTAAAACAGTTATACAAATTATATTATACAAATTCTAAATTATATAAAAGTTATACAAATTATATTATACAAATTTCGGACTATACAAACGTGAGAATTATACAAAACTAAAAAGTTGAGCCGCGTAATTATAGCTAAAAGTAGGTCGTGAATTGATTAAGGTAAACTATAACTATGTTAACTAATTAACTAGTATATATTTGCTTATATGCGTAATTTTCCCATTAAAATTTAATGGTTGTTTTTAATTAATATTTTACAAATGTTGGCTATGTTTCAATTAAGGGAAAATTATATGAAATAACAAACTATTAATTCAAATTAAATGTTATAGTCATAGTTTATTTTAATTGTAATTCGCAGCAAACATCCCCTTTTTTTGCCATCTGATTTGATATACAATTAGCCATTTTCAATATACAATTAGCCATTTTATACATTTCGGTATAAACTGTATAAAATGCGTTTGTGTTTGTATAAAGCGAGAGAAAAGTGTATATACAAATACAAATATATATATTTTCGTCCTATACACTTATAATTATACAAATACAGATCTTATTATATAAATTACAATATATAAATGAATTTATACAAAACTGAACAATTTGTATAAAATTGAATGTTTGTAGCAAATTATACAAATCAAAAGCTCCATAACAAACATAAGATTTGCTATGGAGCATAATTATGCAAACTATAGTTATAACATACAAATATGATTTTTATGTTTGCTATATGTGAAGTTGCTGTTCGATTAACAGAGATATTTGTGAAAATCATCCATAAAGTTGATTACAAATTGAAACTCTAGTTTGGCCCGTTTTAAGGCCCATTTTGAAATTTACACACTGAGTTTCTACTTTCTTCTCCCTCGGTCGCGAACCTTCTCCATCTCCTCTGTGGCGAATATCTTTTTCTCCGGCGATCGATTTGGAGTTGTAAGTTTCCTTAATTTTTACAACTTAATCTGCATTTGTATATTGTATTTGCTTCTATGTGATAATGGCTGCAAACATGTGACATGTATAATCTGGACTCGTAATAATCTGGTTTTTCTTTAAAAAAATATTTCTCTAACCCAAAAGCAAACAGATTATAATTAGGAGAAAAGAGAACCATAAGTCCTATTTTTATAGTGTTCTGGTGGTAATCCTTGTTAGAATTCAGTACTGGAATGGAAATTATAAAATTTATTGTCATGATACTCCAAAAGACTAATTCTATTTTATGCACATTCCAAATTTAAGAATTAATTATACAGCATTGAATTAAGTTACCTCTTGCAACAAAAAAAGTCCATTCATGTAGGATATTGAGTTTAAGATAGGACATTAGAGGCCCCAGGGCTTTGGTCTAGTGGTAAGAGTGATGTGTGGGTTAGATGCTCGTCATGAGTTTGAATCCTGACATATGCAAAAGGCTGCTATATAAGTGAAGAAGGGTAGAGGGGCAGACCCATATATGTGCCAGTGACTCTCGGTTATCAAAACAAAAAAAATACGACATTTGAGAACTTGATAATCGATATAGATAATAATGATAAGTTTTTCCCCATACAATGGTTGACACCCCTTAGGTAAAAGAGTTTTTTTTATGTTTATATACTACTCCATATATTGATTCCTCTTGTCTTATTTGTGGGTTTACTCTTTCTTATTTTGACACCTCTTAGTGAAAACCTTTGCTTTGCCACTATATGTGACTATGTCAAATAACCCTTGCTTTGCCACTATATGTGACTATGTCAAATAACAGGCAATGCTTTGACAAAAAGGTATGGTTTCTTCTAATACCTCAAGCCAATTCGAAAAGTAAAATAGGAATCAAGTTTCGTTGTCATTTCAGTGAGGGAGGAGAATTATGGGACTGAAAGGTTTAAGAAAAGATACATTTAGTGGCTTAAGGGACTGATCAGAGCTGGAGTGCAGTTATTGTGCTGACAATGGTAGCAAGTAGCTAATGCCTAATAGGTATTGCCTTCACACAAGTTAAATATGGCATCCAACACTAAACTTTGGCTATGAAATGAATGGATTTGTGGGCATACTATATACTTGGTAAAATTACTATCACCAAATCTCATTTTGTTCTACGTGCACATGTTTGTAGGTTGCTTTTAATCGTTGAGCGTTACTTGTTTGGCAAACCTAAGTGAAATTAGTGTTCTCAGTTTTCTGAAAATATAGTTCGTTGTGCTCGTCTTTTTCCCAGAAAGATTGTAATCTTATATGACTACTCCGCTAGATGCTTGCATTTACCTGTGATTTTCTCCTATTAGCCCCCCTGCAGATCTTATTTCCTGCTATACCTAGCATGATCTTGTCTTTTATACTTTATAGTTTGAACTGCTGAAGGATGGGCCGCAAAGCCGGTACCTTATTCATAAACCCGAAGAACTTTGGAAGTCTCCAAAAACCTTGCGTGAAGGATATAGTCACATTTCTTAATTGTTTGACTCTAAATCATAACAAGGACGATAAATGCAGCAGGCAAAAATCACTTTTAAGTGCATGCATGGAGGCTCAGGTATGTATATATTCTCAAACCCTGTTTACTTTCTATTTATTGTTATTTAGAAAAAATATATGGTTTTATTCATTTGCTTGCCACAAATAGTACTCCATATGGTTTCATATGCTCCCCCATTAACATTGACCTGTGATACACCTTTTTTATAGGGCAAAAACAGAAAGCCTTGGGGTAGCATTAATTATCACCTCCAAAGGCTTAACAGGGGAAGAAGGTAGTTTGTATCAAATTGCTTGTGTACAACATAAGCTACAGTATTGTGCTTTGGTGTGTAATTTTAGCATGCATTTGAACTCAATAAAAAGCCTTACCATGTCATAGCTTTAGAGAGCTGGCTATGACTATGTTTCAAAACTTCCCCTTTTCTCTGGGGAAGTTTCAGTGAGTTGCTTCCGATGAGCCATCAAATAGTGTAGGCAGGATATGACTTTTTCCTTCTAACTATGAAGGAATATTTACTCATTTGGTTTTGCTGTATTACGGACAGTTAACATGTTTGTTGTCATCGGCTATAAACTATGTTTCAAAGTGAAGGATTCTGAGAACATGAGCTCCAGCAATATCAACTAATTTATTTAAGATCAAAAGCCACCAAGTTGTGGGGTGAGGGGATAAGGCATGATTTGTACCTGAAAATTACGGATCAATGGCCTTTGATTTGTACTTGAATTGCTTATTCAAAAGCAATAATAGCCAAAGAAAAAACAACAGCAATAGCATATTATGCAATTGATGGGGAAAACAAAAAATGTTAACGAGAGAACTCATGGTTTTGAATCAACTCATTTATTAGGCATGCTTAACTTAATAAATTGCAGCAGCAAGACTCCCGACAAATATCTGCGTAATTTTTTTCCAGGTTATGGCTTTTGTTTGATAGTTGTGGCAGAATATTTGCTAATCAAATTGTCTTTTCGGCCAGTTGTTAGTTTGTTCCTGGTTCCTGGTTAGTAGGAAAAAATTAAAAAATTAAGTTCGAATAGACATCCAAAAAGAGTATGTATTAAACAGCAAGACTCGGTATCGCGATTTTAAAACATCAGTATGAAATTCACATGACAAAACTTGAAATAAGAGCCAGTTCAAAGTAATCTACTAAACTATACTAAGGAAAATGAAACCAACTACTAGAATCTTTTATCAACCGCTTAATCAACCTCCTCAATCTTAGGTCCTGCACTGCTGCCACCAGATGGTGGAGCATCATCATCCATAGGAACACCTGCATCACCACCAGCACCCTGGTACATCTTTGCAATGATGGGATTACAGATGCCCTCGACCTCCTTCATCTTGTCCTCAAACTCATCAACTTCTGCAAGCTGGTTGCTCTCAAGCCATGAAATTGCCTGATCGACGGCATCCTCAATCTTTTTCTTGTCATCCGAGCTAAGCTTAGAACCAATTTTCTCATCCTTCACTGTGTTTCTCATGTTATAAGCGTAGTTCTCCAATGAATTTTTGGCCTCCACCTTCTTCTTGAGTTCTTCATCTTCTGCCTTGTACTTCTCAGCTTCCTGGACCATCTTCTCAATTTCTTCCTTTGACAACCTACCCTTGTCATTGGTAATTGTGATCTTGTTCTTCTGTCCAGTAGTCTTGTCCTCAGCAGAGACATTCAAGATACCATTTGCATCAATGTCGAAACAGACCGTGATCTGAGGCACACCCCTAGGAGCAGGGGGAATACCAGAGAGCTCAAATTTACCCAACAGATTGTTGTCTCTGGTTCTTGCTCTCTCACCTTCAAACACCTGAATCAATACTCCGGGTTGGTTATCAGAGTAGGTGGAAAATACCTGCTCTTTCTTGGTAGGAATTGTGGTGTTCCTTGGAATCAAGACAGTCATCACACCACCTGCAGTTTCTAACCCAAGAGAAAGTGGCGTGACATCCAAAAGCAGCAAGTCTTGGACCTTTTCATTACCTTCTCCACTGAGAATAGCAGCTTGCACAGCAGCACCATAGGCAACAGCCTCATCTGGGTTGATGCTCTTGCAGAGCTCCTTGCCGTTGAAGAAGTCTTGCAACAACTGCTGCACCTTGGGAATTCTAGTGGATCCACCTACAAGAACAACATCATGAACGGTGCTCTTGTCCATCTTGGCATCCCTTAAACATTTCTCAACTGGTTCCATACACTTCCTGAAGAGATCCATGTTCAACTCCTCGAATCTGGCACGGGTAATGGTAGAATAGAAGTCAACTCCCTCATACAGGGAATCAATTTCAATTGTTGTCTGAGCAGTGGAAGAGAGAGTTCTCTTAGCCCTCTCACAAGCTGTCCTTAGTCTTCTTAGAGCTCTTGGGTTACCACTAATATCCTTCTTGTGCTTTCTCTTGAATTCCTGAACGAAATGGTTCACCATTCTGTTATCAAAATCCTCACCTCCAAGGTGAGTGTCTCCTGCTGTGGCCTTCACCTCAAAGATACCCTCTTCAATAGTGAGGAGGGATACATCAAAAGTACCACCACCAAGATCGAATATAAGCACGTTCTTCTCACCTACACTAGTAGCCTTTTTGTCCAATCCATAGGCAATGGCAGCAGCTGTTGGTTCATTAATAATACGCATGACATCTAGTCCAGAAATAACTCCTGCATCCTTTGTAGCTTGGCGTTGTGAGTCATTGAAGTAGGCTGGCACAGTCACCACAGCATTTTTCACAGTAGATCCAAGGAAGGCCTCTGCGATTTCCTTCATCTTTGTCAGCACCATAGAAGAGATTTCTTCAGCAGCAAATTCCTTCTCTTCACCCTTATAGGTAACAACAATCATTGGCTTATCGCCAGGCCCAGGAATAACCTTGAAAGGCCACAATTTCATGTCTTCCTGTACAGAAGCATCACTGAACCTCCTACCAATAAGCCGCTTTGCATCTGCCAATTGAAAGCACAGTGAGCACTAGATGTATACCAAAACTGAAATCATGTAAACACTGCACGACTAGCAATGATATACTTCCAGATAAAAATAATGCCAAAAATCCCACGATTCCCAGTACTAAGCAACTAAGGAAACAAAAGAGTGCCACAATATCAAATTCAACATCACCAATAAGAATCAACATCTGTCACACCAGTGACCAGACCTACATTACAAATCCAATTAAATTCACACACCAATTTACACTGATGCACTCCATTCAGTCAAATTCTCATGATGTATAAGGCAGATCGGTCTTATCCATTTTGTTCCTAATAACAAAGATGTTCTCATCTCATGTCAGATTGCCTGATTAATTCACTCATAGCACCAGTGCCGAGCTTATAGGCTCACTACACGTTTTTATTCCACTATTCATATACCAGACTGCTTATTAATAGTACTAATATCATATCAACTTGCCTACACCTCAACTAATTCACCAGACAGATTATAGTATAATTCAGACTCGAGATCAGGACAATGCAGTTCCGTTTTACTGGACATGGCCACATATAATTCATTTTTGTACGTGATTGTGGACTGTTAAGGTACTCGCTAAAATAATACTGACTTATACAAACCAAGCTAAACGAATCACATCACGTCATTGATCATCAGGCTCGATCTCGCAACAAATCACAAACATACTAGATATACCACTCATCAAGAAGCATATTACTCAAAACAACAACAAATGTATAAGAAATGATTAGATCGAAAATTCAAAAGCTTACCGAAAACGGTGTTAATCGGATTCATGGCGACCTGATTCTTAGCAGCGTCACCAATGAGACGTTCAGTGTCAGTGAATCCAACATAAGATGGTGTAGTTCTGTTTCCTTGATCATTAGCGATAATCTCCACACGATCATGTTGCCAAACGCCGACACAAGAATACGTAGTCCCCAAATCAATTCCGATCGCCGGTCCTTCACCTTTTCCGGCCATTGCTTTAAACGGCGACGGTTATCAGAGAAGAAAAAAATAGAGAGCTAAAAGAGTAAATGAGGTTTGTGAAGAAAGAAGAAAGTAGTGAATGAGATATGAAGAGAAGGAGGAAGAGAAAGAGTATATAATGGGTTCGGGTTAGGCGTTTTGTGTGCGTGTTACGTTTCTAGAATGTTCTTTTTTCTAAATCTGACCAATCAAGGGAAATATTTGAACGTGTTTAATGGGTATTGGAATGTTCTGGAGACGTGCTATTACGTAGCCGTGTTTGACCTATCCACACAACATTTTTGTGGAATCGTAGCAACTTGAAGAAAAAATTGATAATACTAGTTATGTTTTGTTAATTACATATTTTACAAATAATTGTCTAAGATTTAATATTAAATATTATAAATATGGATTTTATAGCAAATATTTCTTCTGTCCAAAAGTAAGTGTTACTTTAGAAAAAAATACGTTCATTCAGAAATTAATAAATATAACGTATACTCCTCCGTTCACTAATACTTGTCCACTATACTAAAAATAGATGTCCAACAATTTATTATATTCAAAGGATGATATAGTAAAATTACCCTTTTATTTATAGTTTTATTAAGAGGTGTGTCAAGTCAATAGTGGATAACTATTGTTGGACAGCGGGAGTAGTTTACTAAACCATCCATATTTAATAAGTATTTCTTGAAAATTGAACACTATTAATAAGATAGAGTATAAGACTATAGTTGAAAGAACATAGAAATTTTTTATCCTGAATACCTAAGGCGACACTTACTTTGGAACAAACATGAGAACTGAGATTAAGAAACTATTTTTAAAAGTAACAGTAACACTTCCTATCAAAAGTAGTGGCGGAGTCAGAAATTTCAAAAATTGACCTTGCTCTTTTTAAAAATTGAAAAAATTTAATTAAAATTAAATTGCATTGCTAAGGTGAGCCTGCCAGTGAGATTCGAACATGCAAACGCTTTAAGTTTGTGAGTCTTGGCTCTTTCAAGAGCTTGAAACTACATGACCACAACACATTGCTGTGTCAGGTGAGTTCAAAATATGTTATTTAATTACTTTATAATATATTATTTTACTTATATATATAATATAATTTTATGACGAAGGGTGTCCATAACAAAAGTGTAGCTCCGCCCCTGATCAAAAGACTATTTCACTATCGGTCGGAGCTCAAGTGAAGATGATGAAAGAATACTTACCCCATTCACAATTTTTGGTGGTCGGTATGACTTGATTACACAGCTTAGACTTTCTTTAGCAATTCAAACCATTAGGCTGGGCCTTAAAGAGAGAATCATCACTGTAACTGAAGTCCAGTTAGATTCATAACCCGCACACCTTCGCTAGAACTATTTGTTTGCATTTAGGCCCATACTTACCGCTTTGGAGTCTTAAAGCCCAAATTCAATTTTCATAGAGTTGTTAACGTGATTTGAATTGATAAAGGTTCAAATTACTCTATTTTTTTGGGTGTGAATTGGTTAGTATAGTACTACATGATTTAAATATCTTTTTCATGTAACGTTATAACGATTATATCTTCACACTAAATAGATTAATCTGTTTTTCTCGCATTAACGGATAAATTAAAATATGACCCCGCTAGAATGAGATGGCATGTGGTGCAAGATGATTTTTTTACCCGACACAAAATTGCGTAAGTATCTAAGACGGAATATTTTTAGGATTTAAAAACCTGCCATTAATTACAAAACGTTAGGTCTTGAGCCTTTACATTTAGGGGAAAAAAGAAACAAAAGATAATGTAGTGTAGAAAAAGTGAAAGGTGGATGAGGGGAAACAGAATAGCAAAAAGATAAAACATATCACGCTTATCCATGCCCGGAGGTGGGCCGCATGAAAAGAACAATTTCATGCCTATGTATTACATTTACACACATTACCCTTTACTTTGTTGCTTCCACTCCAATGTATGTACTACTAAATCCTCCGCCCAAACTATATTAAAGCAACCCAGCGAGTTAAGATTTAAAGTTTATGAATTTAAAATTTTATATTTTTTAAGTTATCGAATTTCGAAATAATAATTTAATTACATTTGTTTAATAAATTTCTTAAAATATAAAATTTGAAATCAAAGTTACTAAATTTAACCGAACCCATAAGCTACCTTCTTGCTTCTCCAATTTGTCGTTTCCTGCTGCTAACTTGATAATAATACCTAGAGAAGAAACATGTTTAATTTTCTTCTTTGTTGGGGTGTTTCCATTTGAGGATGGAACATGAGGCATCATGCCATTGGCGCAGTTTAGCAAAAAAAAACTAGCGTAGTTTATTACTTCCCCATCCCAATTTATATAACAATATTTGAGTATATACCCAAAATCTTAATTAAGAAGGAAGAAGTAAATTAAAAAAATTGAAACTTGTTATCTTAAAAAAGTTACTACATTCATTTGTATGACGATAAATTATCAAACGATAAAATAAAACTATAGAATTAAATTGTTTCTAAATAAGAAATATGTCGTTATTTTTCTAGATAGACTAGAATTTTTTATTTTTTTTTAAATACAGAGCATTTATAGATGTACATACAAAATATTACATAAATTTCATTATGGAAAAATTCTTTTGGCCAGAATGGTATTTTACCTATGTTATTTTTAGGGAAAAAAGTCTGAAAAATATTCCAATTTTGGCCGAAATTGCTGTTACGATACCAAACTTTATGGTGGACCTTTTACCCCCTGCACTATTTAATAGTGTATTTTAAAGGTATATATGTGCCCACTGGACACATTACTATTTATAATGATGCAATATTTAATTATGATGTCCACGTGGACACATATATACCTTTTGAAATACACTACTCCCTCCGTCCACAATTGTTTGTCAGGGTAAGGTCATGCACACCCTTCAAGGAAAATTTAATACAAGGTGTAATTTGACTAATATAACACTACTATACCAAGAATACCAAAAGTCCACATAACTTTTCAATTGAACTACACTATCATTAAGGGCAGAATTGGAAAAAATTGACTAATTATTTCTTGATTGTTTAAATTGACAATTAATCTTGGACATCTATTTTTAGTATACCTGCCAAACAATTGTGGACGGAGGGAGTATTAAATAGTGCATGGGGTAAAAGGTTCTTTCCAAAGTTCGGTATTGTTACAACAATTTCGGTCAGAGTTCGGATATATTTCAGACCTTCTCTTATTTTTATCTTTTTGAACATTTTTACCTTTTTAACTTTAATTCCTTTTAATTAAAAAATGAAAAAATGATCAGTTTCTTTTAAAATAACAAAAAATATTATAAATTTTTTAAATTTCTGACCAAATTTTCTAGCTATTTAACATTACACCATCAAATTCAAAATTTTGAATCAGATTCTACGTGGAAATAAGAAAGATGCAGATGGGGTAAACTAAAGCGTTGCTTTTTTGTGATAAATATATAGTATCAGCTTTATATTTATTTTTTTACCTAAGGGGTTAAAAGACTCAGCGGGGCCATATCGCTTTATTCAAAACCCTCGTAGCTCGAGATGTAGCATTGGCCATTGCAAAAGTAAAAAAAAATTCCTTCCTCTGGACTTACCCTTTATCTTTTTAGACCACCAACTCTCCGGATGATATTTTACTAGTAAGTACGTTCTCCGTCTATTTTTATTTGTCCATCATATTAAAAATAGATTTCTAGCTTTAGTTAATATATAATACTAAAAAGTATAGCATTAACTATGAAATTTATCAGTAATCCTCAGCTAATAAGCTTCAACCTAATTGAATTTTTTTGTAATCCATCACTAAACCATAGATAAATGAGATAAGTATGGATTTTTTTTGTTGTTTAGCTATATAATTTTGTCCCGTTAATTCTTTGTGTTTCTTATAGGGGGGTGCTTATTCACCTTAGGAAATCAAGACATAATTTATCACTTAATTCTTAACTTATTATCCTTGTTATTAATTATAGTTATTTTTCAAAATACTGAATTAAATTATATATATTCAAAGAGTGATTTTATAGTAAAATTATCATTTTATTTATTGCTCCCTTAAAAATATTGTATCAATTTAATACTGAACAGGTAAAAATGAACTACTGAAGTAATTATATGCTCTTTTTCCTGTTCATGTAATTAAAAAGATGAAGTTAACGACAAAGAATAAAGAGGTTTGACCTAGGTATAGCTAGAGTAGAGTTAATTTAGCTGCATGAATTAATGAATGAGCGTGGGGATGATATCATGTCAATGATGAAGTAGTATTAATTCTCTTAACTTCTTCTTCTTTCTCTTTTAACGGAAAAATGATGATGACACTCAGATTATTATGAGAGAATCCTCACTTTTCCTTCTTTTGAGTTATCAGTGATTGGATTTTTCTTGTGTTTTGGGTACAAACATGTGGTAGTAGTAAAACATTTGCATGGTTTTTAGTGGAAACTTTGGCGTTTTCTTTCTTTGACTAATGCTTTTTTTCATCTTTCTTTTTAATTTTTTCTTCCTTCTTTTGTTTGTTGCTAAATCTTGTCAAGCACCACTTATCCCACTCACAACCGACAAGGAATCTCACTTCTCTCTATTTTCCTATTCTTATCATATATATAAAAATATAATCATTTGTAACAATCAACTGAAAATATATGACCATGCAGAAATTTTAGAATTTAATCCAATAACATATAGTATACAAAAGTAGCACCCTAGCTAAGAGAATATCACCATCTATAGCTACTAGCATGGAAAATCAAACTGTTCATACTAAATTGATGACCATGTAAAATGACTATGGTTATATAATAAAAAAATCAAAAAAGGACTATGGTTATATGGAAGATCATATCATGTTGCAGTGAAACTCACAATTACTTAATCTTGACCAAATTCTTTAAATATGCACTATTTTTGAAGTATTCAACATGCACCTGTCGATTCTTTTTTGAAGAGTCTAATGGCCAACAAAGCAAATCAATGATGAAAGATTACTTGACCATTAGTAACATTAGTACATTTCAGATAATTAATGAAGATTGAAATTGATGAATTTTAACACTTCATCAAATAAGAAAAATAAATATAGTAGTATACTTTTTACTCAAGGGATACAACTTCATAGATAGTGAACATACTGAGAATTAACACTGAATTCAACAAAAGAAACACTAATTTCTCAAGTCAATCAACTAAATAGTTATATATCTCAGAAAGTTATCCTTCTTGCTTGAACTCTTTTCAACCAAAAGAATTGGCTTTCTGAAATACTCCTAATAATTATCAGTTGAGTAACCACGCTCTAAGAGATCAACTCCAGATATGATAATTGACTAGGGTTGTGATCACTTGAGATGGTAAAATGAGTTAAATTATCAGAAATTAAACAACATTAACATATATATAACATATATTTCATGGAAACAGATTAATTATAATGTCAGAACCCAAATTAAAACTCACAATACAACTTCACACACCTAAGTTATAAAGAAAAAAAACATCCAGTAAAATTACAAGTGGTGATAATGACCAAGGAATAACAAAGACTTAAATATGCCCCCAGTATACTATATATCTAATTTAGACCCCCCTCCCAACACATACAACATTTTAATCGTTGAGAGTCAAGTACACAAATTGACTTACATGATTGAAATCAAAGTAGATGGCTTGCTGAAGAAGATGAGTTTAATCCAGAAAACCCTGTCCATGCGTTTCCACCCCAATATTGATTACTATTATTTTCCATTGTTCCCAAAAACTGTTTGGTCGAATTTAACCCTTGGTCATCATGAGCATTAATATTATTATTATTGTTAACAGATGATGATTCATGAATTCCTTGATCAGTACCATGTTGAAAAGGGTACAAATTTGTGTTTGCTGCCAAAGATGGTAATCTCCACTGATGATCAGATCCTCCTCCTGAGGGTACAGGTAAATTATTTGTATTACTCCCTATTTGAAATCCCATTTCATGATGATGACCGGTTCCATTCCCATGGTGTGTTGAAACCAAAGGAGGAGGTTGAAATCCGCCATAGTGATGATTAAGGTTTTGGAAAGCAGCCATGAGAGGAGTTAACTGCGGTGGTTGCTCATGAGGGAAGTGATGGCGACCATTCATTATTTCCGTGCTGCAGCTTGAAGGACTTGCACTTGTTGAAGTACCCGAAGCAATAATATTAGTATTGACATTACTGCCAGCTGTCTTTGAGCTGTTGTTGTTACTACTTTTGCTTCTCTTGTTCCTCCGGCATCCTCCTCCTACCGGCACGCTTCTCAAGGCGCCCCCTCTAGTCCAGTACCGGCGACAGGTCTTGCAGAAGTGTCTTGGTTGGGAAAGGTTGTAGTTGTTGAAGTAGCAGAACTTTGTGTTTGTTGAATCACACCTTGGACACTTTAATCCAGCTTCCGGTAGTGGAATCTTAGCTAACCGGGCTCGATCCACCATAGAACCTGGTCTGATTGAGCCCGGACTAGCCCCCACCTGCATAGGTGGGGGCTGCAGAGTTGGATTCTCCAGCCCAGTATTTCCTTGTTGATGGCCGTCTGGCTGTTGTAACTAAAATAAAACATCGTCAAAAAGAAGCAAAGTTAGGGAATTTCACTCTATGTTTTTAAGTACTCATAATCTAATGGCAATAATACCTAGTATATTCAAGAACAAGACTATATAGTACTAGAGAATATGAATATTACTTGTTCTCTTTTTGGTTGAGGATTAAAGATTTAAATCCATACCTGATGCAAATTGGGATGATCTAGATACACAGGAAAAGATGAGAAAACCATGATATTTTCTTTCTTTGATCTCTTTGATCTTTATCTCTTTTATATAAAAAGGTTGATAAGTTTTTTTGGAAATATGTGGTGGGAGAAAATCAGACTAAAGAGAATACCATAGCCCCAATAAAAAGAAAGGAAAGGAAAGGAAAAGAGAAAGAAGATGAAGGAAAAACATAAAAGGGGGAAGTAGCTATAGCATATTATAGAGAGATCACTTAATTAATTTTTTTTTCTTCTAACATTCTCTTTTTGTTTTTTGCTATACTATATTTTTAGGGTTTAGTAATTTTGAGTGGAGGGAAGTTCCTTCGCATCTAAGCTTTCTTTGTTGATATATACATAATATATAGTATTTATTAGTGGGTGATAAAAAGGAAAGTATAGTGACTCTCTATTATATATCAGCTATAGTACGTAGCTTTATTTTATGGTGGGATCCTCTCTTACGTATTTCAAATTCTAAATGGGACAGTCAAATGGATCATTGCACAACCACATAATGATCTATAGTGATATTCTTTGGACCCTTTGTGTTTTTTCTTCTTTTGGGGGGTTTCGTTAAGGATATATAGATAATATTGTTAGTTAAGAAATGCAGTAAAATGATGTGTTGTATAAGTTCTAACTTTTACCTATAAGATAGAATTTATGATTAATTAAGTAGGTTCACTGTCTTGAAATATCTTGAACTTATGCGGAGTGAGTCTAAAAAATCAAGAACACACCTTTTAAAGCCATTTGTGAACTTAACCTAGGAAATGTTACTACTTTTTATGGTACCTTGGGGTAATTAGCCAAACAGTTAGGCTTCTTCTCCTCTTTTTCTGCTTTTTTGCACTTGTCTGTTTATATCTTCTAAAAAGCTTATGGGTACCTTTCTTTAATCGACCCACATGCAATTTGATGTAACACTTAAAAGTAATCAACTCATGTGGAGATACATTCTAAACTCAAACATCTAAACAGTAAATCTTAATTGATTAGGAGTTTAACTTCTACATTATTCTTAAAGACATTTAGAAGCAATCAATCTTTAAAAAGTGAAATTGTTAGAAGTTATATATATGAGTGTTAGCTTTTTTTTTTACGTCATCAATCACATTTACCTGTTGTAGCAGGTATTCTATCTTATTTTCAAAATACAAATTTAACATTTTAAGAAATTGACATACCTTGTAACCTGATAGTGGTAGGAATTTCCTACACTTGACACAGTGTGTATGCTTGAATTCCGTTGATATAATTAAATAAAATAAATTTATCATCTACAAACATATAAATATCAAGTAAATATTCTTTCCAAATTGATAAAAAAATAAAATAACTAAAGTCATTTTAATTCTAAGGTTAGTACCAAATGAGCATTTGTGGAGCTCAAACATCTCAGAAGGTCTAGAGTTCCAGGTAGCTTATGGTGAAGAGAAAGATATTACTTTAATCAAATAATTAAAGAGAAGTCTTTGTTAATATGCCAACATAACTGCGAAAAATCCGGTTAATGCCATTGTTAATTAATAATCTTTCATGAGTTTACTAATTAATTAAGCGCATATCGCTGAGTTCTGTAATTAAGGAAATCTATTTGTCTATGAAACTATTCCTAAATTCAATTAATTAATACTCGCTTTTTTTCAATCTATTTGTTGTAATTTGACTGAACATGAACTTTAATTTTACAAGGTACGGCGGTACGGGTAAGGTTGGTGTACACACCATATTTATGGCTATTGTTGTAATTTGGCTGAAAATATAATTTAAAAAGACTTTTGAATCTTGTGATTTTTAATTAAAGTTATGTATTAGCCAAGGAAATCTTACAAATTGATTAGAAAAAATAACTTTTTCAAACCTCTTTAGTGTAAATATAAATGAAGATTTCCCGTAATGATTAAGGCCATAAAACATGAAAAAATCGGTAAGTGGCCTACAAAATCAAATCTTCCGTTTGTGATCTTAAATATGTCATATATGATGTTAAAATTAACAAGTTGACTAATTAGAAATAAAACCTTTTTGTAAAAAAAATAAGTCAAACAAATTAAAACGAAAGAAATATTATACAATACCTTGCCGTAATTAACTCAAATGAACTTCAGAGTAAAAGAAATCTCATTTCAATAGTTAAAGTTGTAAGGTGTCTAGTTTGAATTCCGCTAAAATATAATATACTTTATTCTTACTTTCTTATTAGGGTGACACAGTTCAACTTTGGGTCATATCAAAATGAAGTGTTCATTTTCCCAAACCGAATCAAACGTTTAAATTAGACAAAATTCTATTTTATTCTTACAAGATGGTCTATTTGGGTTACAAAATAAATCATACTTTACACATTTCAAATGTCTTTATGGGAAAAAGTTTCAACTGTCGTATTTTAAATATTTAATAATAGTACTAATTTTAATTTGTTCCATTTTATCTAACACTTTTTTTTAAGTCTATTTCGAATTAAAAGAATGGAAGTACATTTTTAAAATTTTAAACTTCCATTTTAATCCTTAATGCATGACATGCTCTTTTAATTTTGTTATAAAACTTAAGAAGAAAAAACTTTTGATACATACTAAAATCAAGTTTAAAACTTGTAATTTTAAGTATGTCATGATATTTTCATGGTTGTGAAAGTGTATCATTCAAAATAAATTAAAATAAAAAATTTAAAATAAAAAGAATATTTATTTTAAACTGAGCAGGGAAAATGGTCGTTCTTAATTTATGCAACATATATTAGGAGGAATGTGTCACGTAAAAATGAGCAGGGAAAATGGTTACTTTAGTTTTTCTTTTTTTAATACTTTGATTTTTGTTTCACCATCATGACCCTTTCTCTAAGATTTAATTTTTCATCTAGTTTGATATTTAATTAATTTGCGTCCCAACTAATTTGGATCCAAGCCACGCAAGGTTCATTAGAGATTAAAACGTTTCTGATCGAGCTATCATGACTTGTTTTTTTAATATATATATTTCAGGACTCAAATTTGAAACTTCTAATTATGGGTGAAAGAATTCTGTCTATCCTACTATAAGAGGTGGCGCTCCATCATGACATATTTACTCTGCTAAAATGATCAAATGACGATAAGATATTGTTCACAACAAATTTTAAAGTAACAGGAAATAAATTACAATCACAAATAAAATATGAATAAACATAACTGTCACGTCCCGAGCCTAGACCCTGGGCGGGACTGGCACTCGAAGACCATTATTGTCCCCAAGCGAACCCTTGACCTGACATACTTAACTCAGCGGAAGACTTAACTCAAATAAACAGTCTCATATAACAACTTAAAGAATAATAAACTGGCCAAAATGGCACTTAAGTCATTAAACAACATCTGAAGGATAAAGAAAGACATCTGCTTTAATAACTATCTGATTGTCTATGAAGCCTCTAAAATACTGAAAGGGATGTTGGGACAAACCCCACAATATCCTAATAAATGAACGATTAAAAGCAAATAAAAGAGTCCTCTGGAATGCAAAGAGGCTCACCAGTGACTCTGAGCTGCTCACTGGATCAACGAGGTGTCAAATGCTGATCCTGGTTACCTGCGTCTGCATCATAATAAGATGCAGGCCAAACTGATGTACGAGTATGCGAGTTGGAATGTTAAGCAATACATAGGCTAGAAGGAATCTGAAAGAAACTGAATAACTTACCTGACTCAACTCAACTCAACCTGACTAACTCATTTCAATATAAAACAATTTAAAACAAGTGCAATATAAAGAAAAGTTGTTTAAAAACATGCTATAAACTCTGTGTGTATTGAAAGATACAATAAATCTGAGATGTATGTAGAAATACAAATGAACTGATGTATATAAAAATACAATAACTGCTGTGAGAGTTTTTCTAACTGACAACTATCACATAAGAGCTATAGTGATGATACATCGATCTACCTCACGCTGCCAGAGCATCATATACCCATCCAAAGGTAAAGAACATGAACTGCCTACTGGATCCACTAGTCTAATTTGAAAATGATTCATCTGAAAAGTATGAACCTCTTCTACCCATGATGGCTACATTGTTCTATGGGGGCTGTGGGTTCTTTGAACGCTCCTCTAATTCGGTGCTCAATACTACTCCAAAAAATGTACTGACTCTTATATTTTTAAAACATATTTCCTCTGTGATTTGAAATTAGTGCTCAAAAATTTAGCTCAAAGGCAATCTTGGAAATCAAAGTTTCCCCTCTTGCTTCATTTAGATAGCGATTACTTTTTCTGAAAACTAGCCCGAAGGCTCTTTGGACATCTCAGTTTCCTATCTTATTTAAATGTGAAAACATTTTAAATCTCTTCGGAAATACTTATTCCCCATATACTTTTGAAGAAATGAACTTCAACTTTACTCCTTACTGAACTCAAAACTTAAGTCTTAAAACAAAATTAAAACGTTTGCAAAAGACTTTTAGAAAACTCTAAGAACTTCTCTTGACTTTGATCATAACTTTCCTTGAATTGAATTATGGATTCAAGGTCCATGATATCATGTTTATGGATGATTTCATGATGTTTAGATGTACTTTAGAGTGTTGGAATCGACTAGAAAATATAGATACATCACTTAGGAACAAGTACGAGAAGGTGAGGAAATAATGGGGAGAACTGGCGTCCCTGGCGCTCTGAGAGGCGCGGGGCGTCAGCCCTCAACATTCAGAGAGCAAGCTAGGGAGCTCTGGCTGGCGCGTCGCCCCAGAGCCCCACATTCAGGGACTGCTTTGGGGGGCGCTGGTTGGTGCGACGCCCCAACCCCCTCCCCAGGTGTTTGACTACTTTTCTTCTCCGTTTTTTATCTCTAAACCCTCTAAACTCTAATGGTTCTTTCCCCAAACACTTAGAATCATTAGTACTCTCAACTTACAACAGATCTAACTCAAAAATTCACCCGAAAACACGAATCAAATTAACAAGAAACCTCAACAACACAACCAATCAAGAACTCAACGATGTCCTTCAAAAACTTCACTTTTTAACATGTAAACAACCCAAAATTACTGAATTGAAACAAGTTGGTGTGTGGGTGAACTAAACCATCACTAAAAGATCTTATACCTTAATAGGGATCACCCCCGATGAATTCCACTCCAAACGCTTGACGTTCTTGGCGAAATCTTGGCTTTTCTCCCTTTCTTTCTTCCTTTCTCTTTT